GACAGCACTTCACAGTGCTCCCCCCATCCTCGGGCTCTACACGTTCTTCCCGCTCTCCAGTGTCCCTGAGTGGGGGCCGCCTTATTTGTTGATACAAGGTCTCTCACCTGAACCTGGAGCTCACCAATTCAGCTAGACTGGCTGGCCAACAAGCCCTAGCCACCCTCCTGTCTCCACCCCCTCCCCCACAGCTGAGATTACAAGTGCGCGCCTATGCCATGCTCTGTCCCCCCTCCCCTTTTTTGGAGGTGTTGGGGAATCAAACAGAAGACGTTTTGCACGCTAGACAGCATGAGCCACATCCCCCATTCCCCATGAGTGCTTCAGACTAGGTCTTCTCCCCTGTCCCCGTTCTTCCTGCTCCCTTACTCTGTCTACCTGGAGCACCTCATACAGGGAATGCTGTCCCATGCTGTGTAGTGTATTCATCTGCCTCATGTTTTGCATACCTGCCATATCTCTATTAGACCTTAGCTAGCATTAGGCCAGCGACTGTGCTTGTCCATCTTTGTATTTTCCAGAACTCTAGAAGCAATCAGGCCTCGTCTCCCTAGGCAGGTAGTAAATACTGGTGGACTCAGAGCCATTCCCTGTTTTATATCCCTACCCCTCTCCCGGTGTTGGGGGTTGAACCCAGGGCCCTCACGTAGACAGGCAAACTCTGTGCCCCGCCAAGCAGTGTCCCTGGTCCTGATTGCTTGCTCTAGGACTAGGACCTGGTCCAGGAAAGTGGGGTGAGAAGCCCTCCAAAGGACACATGCTTCTTGGCTGTAATCAGTGTTCCAGTCTCTAGCTGTACCCCAAATTCTAGGAAAGTGGGGTGAGAAGCCCTCCAAAGGACACATGCTTCTTGGCTGTAATCAGTATTCCAGTCTCTAGCTGTACCCCAAATTCTAGCTATTGCCTTTGCTGAAACACTGGACATTTAGGATCCTGTGATATTGTTACCAGTGAATTATCTCTTGGGTGGCTGGGAATAACTCCCCACCCATTAACTCCCATGGTTCTTGTTGTAAATACCAGTGACTCTACTGATTTACCAATATATAGAGTCTCGGTGAAGGGGAGGTAAAGTTTGGCATTAGAAATGGAAGACAACTAGCTTTTACAATGGTACTTATTAGTTTTAGGAGTTGAAGCATGCATGTTAGTTTTAGGAAATAGATAGTGGCTGAGGAAAAGCCAGGAAGGAACTGAGATGGCTTAAGCTACATGAATTTTTGTTTGAATTATTCATTTAGCACATTTATTTATTTATTTTGTTATTGTTGTTTTAGTTTTTTGAAGCAGGGTTTCTCTGTGGCTTTGGAGGTTGTCCTGGAACTCGCTCTGTAGACCAGGCTGGTCTCGAACTCACAGAGATCCTCCTGCCTTTGCCTCCCGAGTGCTGGGATTAAAGACGTGCCTCACCATTGCCTGGCATTATTTATTTGCTTTTATGTGTGTGCCTGTGCCAGTTTATGTGCACCATGTGCATGTAAGAGCTGTGGAGGCCAGAAGGGGGCATTGGGCCCCAGGAACTGGAGTTACAGGTGGTTGTAAGCTGCTATATGGAAACCCAACCCAGGTCTTTTGTAAGAGAAGAAAGTGCTCTAAACCACTGAGCCTTCTTCCTTCCCCCATCTTTTCCTCTCTCTCTCTCTCTCTCTCTCTCTCTCTCTCTCTCTCTCTCTCTCTCTCTCTCTCTCTCTCTCTCTCTCTCTCCCCCTCTCCCTCTCTCCCTCTCTTGGCTTTTAGTTTTGTAACAGGGTTTCTTGTGACTCAGGCTGATGTCTGGCTCACTGTATAGCTAAGGATCTGGTCTTCTGCCTCCACCTCCCCAGTGCTGGGATTAAAGGCGTGTGCCACCAACACCCGGCTAATTAATACTTTCTTTCAGAGCCTTTAAACCATCTATGTTAGACCTTTTTCTATGGCTAAATCAACTTACAGATGAGAGTTTATTGGGGGCTTGCTTTGTTCAGAGAGTTGGAGCCTAAGATGGTGGTGGAGATCACCGCCACAGGCAGGCAGGCTCAGTGCTGGAGCAGCAGCTGAGAGCTCAGGGCCTATCTGCAAGTAGGAGGCACCACCTAGAGCTTGACTTGGAATGGCCTGGGCTTTTGAAAACCTAAATCCCATCCCCCAATGACACACCTCCTTCAACCAGGCCAGGCTTCCTAATCCTTCCGTTTTGTCGTTGGGAACAAACATTCAAATATAGGTGCCTAAGGGAGCCGTTCTCATTCAGACCACTACAATTTCCAAGTCAATTTAAAGCTTTGAATGGAAAAACTCACAAAGTAAGTCTCTTTTGCGGGGGCAGGGAGCAGTGCCAGGGATGGAACCTAGAACTTTTTACGCAGTCAGGGAATTGATCCACCACTGAGCCGCACCCCAGTCCCCAGATTTGATCTTGAATTTTTCTTAGCCCATGACCCCCTTCGCTTCACACAGGGAAACTGTCTGGGCAGCCAGCTTCTGTGGCACAAATCTGCAACGTTTGGTATAGCTACAGTGAGCATGTGGGTGATGTTACCGCTCTTGTGTTAATAAATAGGCCATTTCCCCCTATTTCACAGCAATTCTTAAACTCTTCCTCTAAAGATTAGTGCCTTTGGGGTCTTGTTGTCTTTGCCTGGTTCTTGGTGTGTGTGTGTGTGTGTGTGTGTGTGTGTGTGTGTGTGTGTGTGTGTGTTTGCGTGTGTTAGTTTATGGTTAGTTTTTTTGAGGCAGGTTCTCTCTAGCGCTGGCCTGGAGCTCACTGTGTCGACCAGGTTGACCTCAACAGGGATCCCCGTGCCTCTTTCTCTGGAGTGCTGGGGATAAAGGTGTGCACCACCATGCCCGGCTCTTTTTTCTTCTTTTTAAGAGATTTATTTTATTTTTATTTTGTGTGTGTTAATGTGTTGCCTGCATGTGTGTCTGTGCACCATCTGGAATTGGATGTGAGCACCATGTAGGTGTTGGGGATCCTACCTGGGTTCTCTAGAAGAGCAGCCAGTGCTATTAACCTCTGAGCCATCTCTGCAGCCTGAATCTGTTTGTTTTCCTTGTCTTTAGTACTGAATTAGACAATGAACTCTAGAGTCTGAAAAGGAAAGTTGGCACTAAAAGTGAAAAACAAAACAAAACAAAAAAACCCAGAACAACCAGAAGCCAGTTTTGGTATCCTATGCATATAACCCTTGCGCTAGGAGTCTGAGTCAAAAGTTAACCTGGGTTATGTAGTGAGTTCCAGCCAGCCTGGGCTACATAGCAAGACCCTGTGTCATGAGAAAACAAACAGTAAGTAAGTAAGAAAAGGTACGTAAACAAGCTAAGGGAAGCAAGCCAGGGAGCAGCATTCCCCCTTGGTCTCTGCTTCATTTCCTGTCTCCAGGTTCCTGCCGTGGCTTCCCCTGATGATGGACTGTGTGACCTGTAAGCCAAATAAACCCTTTCCTCCTCAAGTTGCTTTTGGTCATCTGTGTTTATTGAAGCGGCAGAAAGCAAACTAGAACAGTTGAGAAACTAATTGTTTCCCCTAGCTGTAGGTTATTCCTGCTATAGGTGCTTGCTAAGTGCTGTGGGTAGAGGAATGCGTGGCTGAGTGGCTGTGTTAGCCGGGGTTCTCTAGAGGACAGAACCTATAGAACGAGTATATAACATATGGCTTACAGGCTTTGGTCTAGCTAGTCCAACAATGGCTGTCTACCAATGCGTGGTCCAAGAATACAGCAGTTGTTCAGTCTCCAGGCTGGGTGTCTCAGCCGGTCGTAAGTATATTCCAGAATCCCGAAGAAGTGTGCTATAATGCCAGTGAGGAAATGAACCTGCCAGTGAGAGTGAGGGCAGGCAGGCAAAGAGAGAACTTGCCTCGTCCATGTCCTTTATGTAGGCTGTCAGCAGGAAGCGTGACCCAGATTACAGGTGTGTCTTCCCACTTCAAATGATTTAATTAAGGAAAAAATATCCCTCACAGGGATGCCCAGTCATTGGGGTTTTAGTTCATTCCAGATGTAGTCAAGTTGACAACAGGAATGGTCATCATTGTGACTCTGGACTTGGGCATTTCTGGGACTTAGTTGAGGGGCACAGTGTCTTACCCGGAAGTCCCAAGACAGAAAGGACAGCGCTGAGTGGTGCTGTGTTCAAAGAATATTTAAACCCAGGTTTTGATGGGTTAAGGAGGGCACTGAAAGTTCACTGGTGGTTCCCACCCCAAGGCTTAATATATATATACATATGTCTTGTCTGTGCAGGGCTTGAGGAGACCAGGCTCAGATCCTCTGGGACTGGAGTTGTAGACCGTTTGTTGTGAGTCGTCATGTAGCTGCTGGGATTCAAACTTGGGTCATCTGGAAAAGCATCCAGTGTTCTTAACCGCTGAGCCATCTCTCCAGCAGTTAAGACATTTCTTCCTTTCCATGGTTAGGAATGGGTATGACAGCCGGGTGTGGTGGCTTACACCTTTAATCCCAGCACTTGGGAGACAGGAGGATCTCTGTGAGTTCAAGGCCAGCCTGCTCTACAAAGCAAGTTCCAGGACAGCCAGGGCTACACAGAGAAACCTTGTCTCAAACCAAAATGAAAACCCATTAAAAAAAAGAAAAAGAAAAAAAGAAAAAGCAACAGGGATGACAGATGAGCCTCATCTATCCACTCAGGTTGATAAACCTGCGTGAATTCTGGGTAGGAAGGACTCTGAAGAGCTGGAGGGGTGGCTCAGTGGTTAAGGACATTTGCTACTTTTCTAAAAGACTGGTGCTCAGTTCTCAGCACCCACTCGGTGGCTCACAAACGTCTCTAACTCCAGTTCTATGGACTCCAGCACAGTCTTCCAGCCTCCACCAGGCACAGTCACACATGCAAACAAATCATCCATACACATAAAATATCAATTGCTTAAGTTAAAAGTACATAAAATAAGGACTCTGAAGCTGAGAGGGTCATGTCTCCTGATCAACTCAGAAAGCAATATCGCTCTCACTGATACCTGACCTCAGAGAATTGATTTTGCCTATTCTTCCTGTCTCTAGGGACCCAGCTGAAGCCTGGCCTGGGAGCCAGGATGGCCACCCACAGAGCCTTGCTGGTGTGCCTAGGATTGCCTGTGTTCTTCCCCGGGGCCTGGGCCCAGAACCATGTTCCACCCGGCTGCGGCCCAGATCTGGATCCGCTGTACTACAACCTCTGTGACCGCTCTGGGGCTTGGGGCATCGTCTTGGAGGCAGTGGCCGGGGCTGGCATCATCACCACGTTCGTGCTCACCATCATCCTTGTGGCCAGCCTTCCGTTTGTGCAGGACACTAAGAAGCGGAGCCTCCTGGGCACCCAGGTGTTCTTCCTGCTGGGCACCCTGGGCCTCTTCTGCCTGGTGTTTGCCTGCGTGGTGAAGCCAGATTTCTCCACCTGCGCCTCTCGGCGCTTCCTCTTCGGAGTCCTGTTTGCCATCTGCTTCTCCTGCCTGGTAGCCCATGTCTTTGCTGTTAACTTCCTAGCCCGGAAGAACCACGGGCCCCGAGGCTGGGTGATCTTCACCGTGGCCCTGCTTCTTACCCTTGTGGAGGTCATCATCAACACCGAGTGGCTGATCATCACTCTGGTACGGGGAGGTGGCCAGGTTGGCCCTCTGGGCAATGGCAGTGCCGACGGGACCGTGACCCCACCCTGTGCCATCGCCAACATGGACTTCGTCATGGCACTCATCTATGTGATGCTGCTGCTGCTGGGAGCCTTCCTGGGAGCCTGGCCCACCCTGTGCGGCCGCTTTAAGCGCTGGCGGAAGCACGGGGTCTTTGTGCTGCTCACCACAGCCACCTCTATTGCCATCTGGGTGGTGTGGATTGTCATGTACACTTATGGCAATAAGCAGCGCCACAGCCCCGCCTGGGATGACCCCACGCTGGCCATTGCCCTCGCCGCCAATGCCTGGACTTTTGTCCTCTTCTATGTCATCCCCGAGGTCTCCCAGGTGACCAAACCTAGCCCAGAACAGAGCTACCAGGGGGACATGTACCCTACCCGAGGCGTGGGCTATGAGACCATCCTGAAAGAGCAGACGGGCCAGAGTATGTTTGTGGAGAACAAGGCATTTTCTATGGATGAGCCGGCCTCAGGTGCGGTGAGGACTTTGTATACACCCTTGTGGGGGGTGTATCTGTGTGTGTCAGGATGTGCTTGTGTGAGACTAGACAGGGTCTCACGTACCCTAGGCTGGTCTCGAACTCACTATGTAGCTGAAGCTGGGTCTTTACCAGATCCTTCCTTCTCCCAATTGCTGGCATTATAGGTATGTGTTTGTGTCACCATTTCCAGGTTTTGTTTGTTACAATTTACATTTATCTATTTAGTCGGTCATTTCTTTCCTGCCATGTGGCTTCTGGAGATCAGACTCTGTTAGGCCTAGTGACAAGTGCCCTTATCTGGCTGAGACATCCTCCTTTTTTGTTGTTTTTCAAGACAGGGTTTCTCTGTGTAGCCCCTGGCTGTCCTGAAACTGGCTTTGTAGACCAGGCTGGCCTGGAACTCACAGAGATCCGCCTGCTTCTGCCTCCCAAGTGCTGGGATTAAAGGTGTGCGCCACCCCTGCCTGGCTGAGCCTTCCTTTATGCCATGACTTTCACTGCAGGTCAAGGAGCCCGTTCTCTTGAAAAATGGGAAGTTCTTGTGAATATCTGTCTGCTTTGAAGACCCTGAGTTCAGGGACAGAGCATGTAATGTAGCTCAGTGGTATGTTGCTCGTGTAGCAGACCTGAGGCCCCTGGTTTAGTCTCTGGTACCACAAGTAAGCATTCATGATGGCCCATCGTGACCTTAACAGCACATTTGTTAACTGTAAGAAATGTTAGCATTTATTTGGATACCTGCTGTTTACTGGACTCTGTGCTAAGACACAAGGGCTTGTGACTCATGAGCTGCATGACCAGAACTCTGCCAGACGCCAAATTTGTAAGATATGTCAGGGCTTTAGACGCAGCCTGGTCGTCACACACTGGCTCTGGGATCTCTGATGGAAGTTCAGTTAGAGACAATGCACATTCTAGAATCAGAAATCCTGGGGGTCCCTTGTGCGCACTGTGTGGCCCTCATACTTCTTGCCTTGTGGAAATCGGTGACCCTTGCTCTTGTGGACACACAGTCTGTGATCTTACTCCCTGGAGATGACTGCTGTCCCCATACTGGGGTGACTTCTGGCACACAGAGTGGGCCACTGAATGAGCAGGGAGGGGGCCATTAAGGAAGCCAGAAAGACAGAAGGCCTGGGCAGGGGCTGGGAGGAAGGGCAAACGCTCTCCCCACCCCCGCTCCTATCTTAGCACTGCTTTGTCAGGCCCGAGCGTTCTTAGTCTTTTTCTTCTCGTGGAGATACTCCTGGGATTTCATTTTTTTCCAAAATGGAAAAATCAATAGCACGAGGTCAGCACTTAGGAATCCTGCGTAGGTTATGGTCCCTCAGCCCAGCAGAGGACAGCTGAATCCTGCATCCCTGGCCCCCTCAGGAAGGCAGCTCTCCTCAGATACCCCCAGAGGTGCCCAGCAGAGTGGATCAGATGGGAAACCACATCAGAAGGTGCAGGGAACTACAGATCTTTCTGGGTACCTGCTAGGGGGACCAGGATGGACTGAGCACCAAGTCTCCCTAGCCAGGCTCTGCATGGCTACCCAAAGGCACCAGCAGCTACCCATGCCCCCTGGAGAACATGAACATATAAAAAACTGTGGGGTCTCAGCCGTGTTTCCCTGTGGGCCTGGCAGCGGGTCCATAGTAGTGGAGGCGGGAGTTGGAGGTTGGCCATTTTGGAAAACTGCCGAAGGCCCATGTGCCCCTCATGGCCTCTGGCCCTGAGGGCGGATAAGATGTGAGGTTTGCTGACAAATGTGTTTTTCTGGGCTATGGAGGAGGACTGGTGTGTGTGTGTGTGTGTGTGTGTGTGTGTGTGTGTGTGGTGGGGGGGGTTGTCCCACAATGTAGGGGCCAGCAGCACCCTTTTGTACATCTAAACAAAAGAGCACCAGGCATGGGAGGGGCACCAAGTCCACAACCTCACTCTCAGGTTGTATTTCACCAGAACCCCAGGGCCCCCATTTCCCTATGTCCAGGACAGTTGCTTGGGCTGTGGGTCGAAGGAGGAGATGAGTCCAGAAATCTTCAAATTTGACCTTGTTTTTCCCTGCAGCGAAGAGACCCGTGTCACCTTACAGTGGCTACAATGGGCAATTGCTGACCAGCGTGTACCAGCCCACCGAGATGGCCCTGATGCACAAAGGCCCGGTGAGTCGGTCCCTCGGGTTCCCGGGTCTTGGTTGAGAGCCACAGAGCTCAGCCTCCTTTGCTGGTAGAGAGGCTGTGCAGGCAGTGAACTCATGGCTGGAAAGAGGCATTGGGGTACGGCAAACTCCGGGGGCATCAACCCTGCCAGCCCAGGGTGCTAGCACACTGCAGTGGGACCTGCCCTGCATCATTGGGCGCCACCCTCAGCCTGGTGGCACGTACCTGTAATCCTAGCACGTGGGATGCAGAGACAGGAGGCTCAAGGTTGTCAGGGGCATCTTTGGCTACAACTTGCACCACCAGCCTGGGATATATGAGACCCTATTTCCACGCTTGGCTAGCAAGTCTTGACCTTATACTCCCCTGGGCTCTGGGAGCCGGTACTCCATTAGCTGGGGGGGGGGGAGCGGTGGGAACAGGAAGGAGGTGGATTAGATTCCCACTCCATATATGTCCCCCTCCTTGCTGCCAGCGGTTGCCAGAGAGGTCAGCGACCTGCCTTGGCAGGATTCTGGGAACAGGAAGCCAGGAGGTCAGCAGGGTGCTATTCCCATCCCTTCCCCACCCCCCACCCCGAAGCTGGGAGCAGGGGATAACTGCTGTGTCTGAGACACCCAACCCCAGCTCTTTTCCTCTCCCGAGTGTGAAGCTGCAGCCTGGAGCAGAGCTGAGCAGTTTCCATTCACACCATGATGATCAGAGGCTGCCTCTCCACCCCCAGCCTCTGAACCTTGTCCGCAGGAGCCGCCTCAGCCCTCTCCCCAAGTTTGGAGGGTGAGCTGAGCTGGACTGTTCTTTCTGCTTAGTTCTCACACCGTGGTCCTCAGACCACCCAGGCGAGCGGCAGTTGAGAACTTGCTTAAGATGCAGACTGGGCCCAAGGTGGGGCAGTTTATTGTGACTTCTGTGATGGTAACCTGTTAGCATCGCCTGGTAGCTTGGGTTCAACCTAAAGGGGAGTAGTAACTCCCCAAGGCAGATCTACAGGGACCGTCAGGACTTTCCCATCCCTGCAGTTAAACATTTGCCAGCCTATCTGGGTGGGGCCCAGCTAGGGGTGGAGCTCAACTGGGGTAGGGCTTGACACACAGTCCTGTGAATTTTGGTGCCTTCCCATGTTGAAGCTCCCAGACCCAAGTGTCCTAGATGACAGGGAGTGGTTGGATGTTTCCGGAAGTGGGGACCCCCCAGGTGGGAAGGTCATCTGTATCTGCTGGCTTGGGGTCCTGGGAGCCTGGAGCTTTAGTGGTAGCATCTGTCTAACATGGTGATGAGACAGGTGCCGCCACCCAAGGGGTTCATGTACCTTCCAGGTAGAACATTTGGGGCCAGATGACTTTAACAGGACCTATCAGAAGGGTACTGAGTGCTGTAGTGACATTCTGGGGGCTTACAGGACCTATCAGAAGGGTACTGAGTGCTGTAGTGACATTCTGGGGGCTTACAGGACCTATCAGAAGGGTACTGAGTGCTGTAGTGACATTCTGGGGGCTTGGGTACGGCACTCGTGAGTGGTACCAGTCACCCAGTAGCAGTTTAACGGCAGCTGGCCTGAGGTTTCCCCGAGGAACTAGGGGCAGGAACTCAGAGACACTGGGTCTCTTCTAGGAAGCCCCAGGACCCTCTTCTGTGCTCAGAGAGCCTGTCCTCTATCCAGAAGTAGAGTCATCCATCTTATCCTGCCAGCCGGGCCCTGGCGGAATGGGGGTGGAGGTAGGGGTGGGGGTCAAGAGGTGGGGAGCTGGCAGGCACAGCCTACAGGAAGCTGAGTGTTTGTGCGTTTGTCCTGGCGGAACCTGGCTCCCGATCCCCTGACTGTGAGACCGCCTGTTCTTCCTTCCAGTCCGAAGGCGCGTACGACGTCATCCTCCCACGGGCCACCGCCAACAGCCAGGTGATGGGCAGTGCCAATTCAACCCTGCGAGCTGAAGACATGTACATGATCCAGAGCCACCAGGTGGCCACACCACCAAAGGACGGCAAGCTCTCTCAGGTCTTTAGAAATCCCTATGTGTGGGACTGAGGCAGCAGCTGTGGCCAGGAGGAAGTGGGCGGATTTGGAGAGGGCGCTCAGGAGCACTAGGGACACCGTGCTCTGGGGCTCCCTTCTCCCTCACTGGCTCAGGGTGGCTTATGCCTCCGTCAGGTCGGCTGATCTGCCCGTGTTTGGGTGGGGGTCCTGGGGCCCCCTCCCTCTCAGTATTTGTGGAGTCCAGGCACCTGCCCTGATTCATGCCAGGGCCGCCTCTGGTGATCTGCTCCATTCAAATAGTGTTCTGCTTGGGGTGGCGGCTGATCCTATGCCTACAGTCTCCAGTGACACCTGTGCTTCCAGAGAGAGCTCAGAGAGGATGCCTTGGGCTGGATCCTGCTCCTCTGTGAGGGGCAGGGGCGCCTAATAAACACATTATTGCTTTATTAACTCTTGCTCTGGGCTTGTGGTCTCTGACTGGGCTCTCCCCTCCTGACTCCTTCCTTTCTCCATGGATCAGCGAACCCCACTCTCCTCCTCACACCCAGCTCTTGGGGCTGATGCTTCTTGTGTCTCCCTGGTAAGGGGCTGGCACCTCCTCCAGGGTGGGGCCCTCTGGTGTGTCTGCCATCAATTGCCAGCATCTGGGCTCTTGTCTGGACCCATATCTGGGAGTGTCCAACCTGGGCAGTTTTCCTGAAGGTCTCATCTTCCCCTCCTGGCTACATTCAGAGACAGAACAGGGGAGACGGACCCACCAGTGGGCAGTTCTGGGGGTGCAGTGGGGGACCCACCAGTAGGCATTTCTGGGATACAGAGGGGGTCAGCTCATCTGGGCCTCTCCCATAGGAAGTTAACATACTTTAGAGGGTGAGGTGGATGACCATTCTGCTCCAGGCTCTGAGATCATGCTTCGAAACATGAGTGGGGTGGCTCGGAGTGGGCCTGAGCTGTTTATAATGTGAGTTCACAAAGACAGGCAGGCCTGGTTGGTCCAGGGGTCACAGCATCCATGTGCTTAGAATTTGGGGATCACTAAATATTTTCACCAACAGTGGCAGGTGGGGTAGGATGGGGTGTGGGACAGGACTGGACCAATCTTTCCCTTCATTTCCAGAGCCAAAATATCAGAATGCTCTCACTTCAGGGTTATACGGGGTCTTAGGGGTAGTTGTCCCAATCCCTTTTATAAACGGAGTGACTCAGTCAGGCCACAGAGCCTCTAGGTGGCTGGACCAAGACTGGACAGACTGACTGCCCCAGGTTTCGTCCTTGGCTCTCCCTGGAATAAACCAGTGTTCTGGGCTCTGAGCTGCCTCTGTCCCTTCTGGATGGGACAGTGTTCTGACCCTTGGAGGTCATCTCCAGGTCCTTCAACAGGACTTGAGAACCTGTTCATCTCAGGCTTGGGAATGTTCATTCTCAACTAGCCAGAAGCTATTTAGCTATTTTCTGACACCAGTTGTGGGGGGGGGCAGGTTTTTTTGTTTTTTATTCAGTTGTTGCTTTGTTTTTGTTTTTTCGAGACAGGGTTTCTCTGTGTGGCTTTGGAGCCTGTCCTGGAACTCTCTCTGTAGACCAGGCTGACCTTAAACTCACAGAGATCCACCTGCCTCTGCCTCCCGAGTGCTGGGGTTAAAGGCGTGTGCCACCAACGCCCGGTTTTAAAAAAAAAAAAGGTTTTTGTCGAAAGGGAGAGAAAGGTTGTTGGAAGGAAACTCCAGACTTCTCCCAAACGTCTATGTTTAGATTGCATCACTCCCTACAGACCGAGCCTCTTTTTAAAAAGTACAACCCAGTGCTTTGGGCCATGAGCAGTAGGGTCCGTCCCTTTTGACTCTTGTTCTTTCTGGTTACTTTAGGATCAGTCCCCGAAAAACAAAACGAGATGGTAGATGCCCTCTTCCCTGGACCACACCTCATCCGGACACCCTCACTGCTCTGCATCCCGCTGAGCAGGGCCCAGCAGTTTTCCCACCTTTGTCCTTGGAGCTGGGAGGGACCAGAGGCCACCAATATGAAGCTTTGGACTGAGTAGGGACCTTGGGATAGGCCTGAAGCATGTGACTGGTGCTCATAGGGTCACCTACCTTCTTACCCGCCCATCCCAACCTCCTGGTCCCCAAGTGACTGCAGCTACAGGGAGCTAACTGTTGACTCCTGTCTCCTGCCTGCCTTAACACCCCCGCCCCTCCGTCACAGAGTCTGTGTCCCCATGTGACCCTCCAGGTGGTTGCTGTCCCACTGTGAACATCAGGTATGCGACGCCACTGCTCTGACACTGGGCCTTCTTGGCTATGCTGGTAACCCATTGGTGTGTCACACAATTCGTGTCATATGCGTGTCTGTGAGTCTCTAGAGACAAGCCACACAGAAGTTATCCCTTGCTCTACTCTGGGCCTCCTGCCATCTTCTAGACTGTGCAAAGTTACCAGCTAGGAGCAGAGCCCAGGCTGGGCAGGCTGTTTCTCATGACCCGAGGGTCCCAGGTCCCAGCACCTTTGCTCCTGGACTGAGTGTACCCTACCTTCACCAGGGCAGGACCATTCACTCTGCCTGTCCTGCCCTCCCCGCTGCCCATCCCCATTGGGAATGGGAATCACAACACTCTCGTCCCACCTGGGGAAGCTTTCCCCCCCAGCTCTGCCTCACAGGGAACTCCACATGAGAGTCTAAGAGGTGGTGGGCCACCACGGTGCTTAGAACTTTGTACCGTGTATGTACCTCAGTTAATCCCCCCGGCCACATCTCCCCGGTCTGCTTCTGTGCCAGCTCCCAGGATGGCTCGCAGAGGCAGAATTACCCGGATATCTAGGTTCTGCAGGTACCTGCTGGGGCTACTTAGACATTTGTGGTTGGGGTCTGGGAGCTCCCTTAGGAGACAGTGGGTGGGATTCCGGACTGCATTCTCAGGGTGACTTGAACCTTTCCTGTGCCAGGCTGCTGGGGAGTGGGGCCCAGGACTGGAGATTGCTTATGGGAGAATGTCTAAGTTTCTACCTCAGCTTGGGCAGATGTCCTTGGGACACCTGGACAAGCCCTGTCACTTTCATCACTAGAGGAGGCTCTAGTGTCCTTGGCCTTACTTAGGACATGCACCTGAGGAACCCGAAGAGGGCCATTTTCAGGCTTGCGAGCTGCTGACACCGATAACTGAGATGATCATAGTACCAGACCCTGGAACAAAGATCTCCACATCATCATCCTTTATTCTACCCTTGGGTACCAGACAGAGCCTCCTCCAGGCCCTCCCCGAGTATGCCCTGGAGCTTGGCCCTTAGCCCAGCACTATTTAGTGCCGAGGTAGATAGAGATGGAGATGATTGTGGCTTCCCAGGAAGGTGCACCATGCTGAGTTCATGGCTCCCATGATGTCCCTAGCAGCCTGTGCCTTTTATCATTGGGTGAAAGGTCCCCACAGAGTGGGACTATACCTCCAAATGTGACTCTTCCTGCCTTGACTTCTCTGTTGAATGAGGGTGCTGAATCTACAAGTGATATTAATACCCCCCACTCATACAAAAGAAGGGGGTCTCCATGCACCTCACACTGTTCTTGACCTGGAGCTCTGGAATCTGTCACAGAAAGCAAGGGCCTAGTTTGTTCCCTTATGCGATTCTTTCACGACTCCGAAAGCACCAGATGCCTAAGTGTGCAGCCTGTGGTGGATGTGGCTGTGTTTATAGCCCCCGGCCAGGCTTCAGCTGCAGCTGAGGAGTGATGGGTTCCTGGAAGACGTGAGCCTGCCTGGATGCAGAAGTATCCATGGTACTTACCCTGTATCTTCCAGCTTCCGTTCCAGTGGAGAAGTACATTTTAAGGAGAGTGGGGGGTGGGGGAATGGCTCCACACTCAAGTCTTGAATGGGCCTGTTCAAGTTCATCATTCACAGGCCAGTCTCTTGGTAGATGTCACAGCAACACTGTTAAGTAAATGTAAGTGGAGGTTCAACTTTGTAACTACTTATAATTAAATGACTGCCCTTTCTTTGTGAGGGGTTAACGCCTCTGTGTTCCTGTGTGTTTCTAAGGCATTCTGGGGTGTCTGTAAGCTGACCTGCCTACCTCTCACCCCACCCCCACCCCACCCCCACCCCCATCTCTACTAGACCAGTAATGGCTGTTTGACTCCAGGTAACTTTGGTTAGAGACTTTATAAGGGAGAAAACCAGGCTTCCAAAATTCTCAGCTGGGCGTGATGTTTGTTGCCTGCCTTTAATCGAATACTTTGGAAAACTTAGGCAGGCAGATCTTCATGAGTTCCAGGACAGCCAGGGCTACAGAGTGAGAAGAAGAAGAAGAAGGAGAAGGAGAAGGAGAAGGAGAAGGAGAAGGAGAAGGAGAAGAAGAAGAAGAAGAAGAAGAAGAAGAAGAAGAAGAAGAAGAAGAAGAAGGAGAAGAAGAAGGAGAAGAAGAAGGAGAAGAAGAAGGAGAAGAAGAAGAAGGACAATGAGCCCAGCCTTTAATCAAGTACTTTGGAAAACTTAGGCAGGCAGATCTTCATGAGTTCCAGGACAGCCAGGGCTACAGAGTGAGGAGAAGAAGAAGAAGAAGGAGAAAGAGAAGGAGAAGGAGAAGGAGAAGAAGAAGAAGGACAATGAGCCCAGTAGTGGCGCTCACCTTTAATCCCAGCACTCGGGAGGCAGAGGCAGGCGGATCTCTGAGTTCAAGGCCAGCCTGGTCTACAGAGTGAGTTCCAGGACAGCCAGGACTGTTACACAGAGAAACCCTGACTTGGGGAGCACAATGACACAACGACACTGAATTCTTACCAGCCAAGCACAGGTGAATGCTTCCCACACAAGAAGTAGGAGAGGAGGGGTGGGGGTGGAGAGGGGCCGCCTCAGATGACAGACAATCCAGCTACTTCTGGCATGACTGCGGAGGCAGGCCGCAGCCCCATTTCGTCTTCATAAGACGCTTTGCTCACAGAAAGGCACTCTGGGGATGATCCCAGCTGCCCCAGGTCAAGGGGCCTGGTCACGGCCACACCCAGCTTGTTCTGGAGGCCCACCATACTTGTTCATTGACACTTCAGTCACCAAAGAGGTGGAAAGCTTAGGTGGCTTGCCTGACTGTAACCACGCAGACATCTCATCAAGACCAGCACTTTCTCTAGCTCCACCGAGGACACTCCAAGGTTGTGCTGGGGGGGGGCTGCTAAGCAGACTTCCTGTCTGCTGTCTCCGCACTGGGTCCTCCAGGAAGCTGCAGCCCCCACTTAGAGCAGCCTTGTGAATTATTTAGCATCTGCACCAGCCAGAGTGCGCTGACCTCATCCCCCTCAGGCCCCATGTGGCTCTGACCTCATCCTCATCGAGGAAAGGTAGCCGTTAATGGGAGAAGAAGGGGCGGTGGGTCCCATTGGGGTGTCAGTAATTGAGAGGGGGGTACCAGCAGTCTCAAAGAGGTTGTTCCCCGAGACTCCCTTACCTTCGTAGCAGGAAGTGACTCTGTGGAGTGGAGGTGTCTATACATGGTGTAAGAAACGGAGGGCGCTTGCTAGCTGTGGTCTTCCACGGTTCATTTGACCTTGTCCAGGTCTTCTTTGTCTGTAAAATACCAGTGACAAAAGAGCACTCACACGAAAACCACTGTCAAAGGGAAACAATGTGTCCTCCCATACTAGCGGGCCTCTAGACTGAACCATTTGCTGTCCTTGGACTTAACCACATCCCTGCTTGCCCTAGGCACTGGGTCCCCAGAGTGGGTGCATTAGCTGTTTTGGGGGGTTGGGAGTATATGTTCATCTGTCTTGGCTGTTTCCTGATGTGTAAGGGGAAAAGCCTTGGTGGGTGGCCTAGTTGCACGGGAAAACCAAGTAGCCAGGCTGGAGGGCAGGGGCCAGACCACTGTCCCCCAAATCCCTATAGGGGCATTGAGAGGAGCGACTGTGGTCCCTCTCCTCCTTTACTGGGAGAAATCTGAGCTCTGAAGTCGTGGAGGCTCTAAATGGCTGTTCCAGAGTGGTAGTAACTCTCCCGGCCACAGGACATCTGTCATGGCGTGGCCTGACTCTGCTCTGACTGCTTTGGCACAGCAGTCCCTGCCAAGTCTGAAGAAGAGCCAGGCAGAGGAAAGGTCGCTGCAGGGCTGTGGCTTACACAGGAGCTGAGTTGGGTAGGAGGCTCATCCTAGCCAGCTGTCTGCCTGCTGGCTCCCTGGAGTGTCCATAAAGAGACTGAAACCCTACCCCCATCCCCCACAGGGTGCAAGGGTCTGAACCTGGGAAAGTTTTGTACTGAATCCCAACGCGGGAGGTTCCGACAGGACCCTACTGGATCACCAGGGTGCTGGCTCAGGACATCCTTTGCAAACACCCCTACTCTCTCCTAGGCTTTGGGGTGTCGGGATGGGGGAGGTGGCCTGAACACCTGGAGCCCCGTTGTCACTTTCCTTCTAGGGCCTGCCCCTGCATTCCCCAGCCAACCCGAGACTGCCTCCTACTCCCTTCTAAGCCCCGCCCTGATGCCCTGCAATCAGATCCCTTTGAGCGCTAGCCAATGGTGCCAGCTGTCCCTAGCTGGGTGAGAATGGGGTGGGGGATGGGAAAAAGAGTGTGGGGATGGTTGGGGTTAGCCCACGGTGTCCCCCACCTTTCCCCATCCTTAGAGGCTGGAGTTGAGATAGTTCAGAAGTCTCAGTCCCATCCGCTCCACCAGCCCAGGATTGTGTATGTCCAGCCTAGCTCAAGGAAGCAGGCCTCTGTAGAGAGGACCAGTTCCCAGACCAGCCAGCCTGGGCAGGGAACCCCTCCGCTATGCTGGCTGGGCTTCGGGGAGGAGGGGCAGGCTCCTCAGCCTGTACTCCTGACAACAGGGAAGGAAGACTATTCTTTTGGTGGTGGTGAGGCTGTGTGTGGTGGGATGCTGAGTGGGGCCCTCTATCCACTAGAAATAAGGATCACCACCAAGCCCCAGGTTCTGACAACCAAAAATGCTTGGAGAGGTGGCAAATGTTGGTTAGGATTGTCCAACTTCTGGGCCGAAGTCTGGTCCCCTAGGCAGTTACAGAGGACCTTTGAGCCAGCCACACAGGGACCCATAGAGTCCACATAGTCCTAGATTCTGCTTTATTTCTGCATTTCCTCTCTGCTGATGGGCAGCCTGGGAACCCTGACCTTTGACTACAACACAGGTACTATTGAATCGCCAGCTCCCTACTTCCTGCCGGGTTAGATGAGTTGTCTCGGGACAGGAATGCCAGTCACACAGGTTTGTTTGCTGCACACTCGGTCAGGGTATCTGGGTCACCAGAAAGACCCACGGTCAAGGCCCAAAGTCAGGGAGAGTCTGGGCAGCAGGTGTCCAGCTACAGCAGGGGGCAGGTCACACTTGGCTGAACTCAGATCTTGTGACCCTCAGGAGGATAAATAGAATACCACCCAACACACACACACACACACACACACACACTCCAGAAACAACATAAAGATAATGAGACCTGACTACACACACACACACACACACACACACACACACACACACACACAGTTGGGATTTGTAGCCCAGGCAGATCCTCTCCAGCCCCTGTACCAGACCCCTATAGGAGAGGGTAGCAGAGCAGGGGTGGGGGCAGGATGCTCTCTGTGGGTACAGAGTCCACCTTACTGCAAAGTGCATTTAAGAGATTCCAATCCCAGACTCAAATCGAATGGTTTTAGTAGCTCCCTAGCCCCACCCACCGTATTCAGATTCCCTTATTTGCATAGAAGGGCTCTGGGAAGGAACACTTAGAAAATGAGATTCAAGTTCATATGTGGTAGGGTGGGGGGTGCCAGGCAGAGGAAGGCGAGGCTTTTGCTGCCCTGCTGTTTCTCTCCCTCTTCTTTCCTCCATCTCTCTCTTTTGCTGTGACAATAAACCATGAGTTTAATTTCCTGATTCACTGCAGTGCTGGGGGTAGAATTCATAAGGAGGCAGGGGCACCACCACCAGCTCTAAGTCACTTTTTTAAAAAAATATTTATTTATTATGAATAAAACATCCTGCTTCCATGTATGTCTGCATGCCAGAAGAGGAAACCAGATCTCATTATGGATGGTTGTGAGCCACCAGGTGGTTGCTGGGAATTGAACTCAGGACCTTTGGAAGAGCAGCCAGTGCTCTTAACCTCTGAGCATTCTCTCCAGCCTCTTAGTCACTTTTTAAAAATTTTTGATTTTATTTTATGTGCATTGGCATGAGGGCTTCAGATTCCTTGGAACTGGAGTTACAGACAATTGAGAGCTGCCATGTGGGTGCTGGGAATTGAACCCGGGTCCTCTGAAAGAGCAGCCAATGCTCTTATCCACTGCTCAGTCCCCAAGTCTCCCATTTTAAAAATATTTTTTTAATTTAAATTATGAGTGTATGTATGTGCTTGTGTGTAGGATGTCCATGTAGGTGTGGTGTCCTTGGAGGCCAGGGCTTTGGATCCCCTGGAGCTGGTGTTCCTGGTGGTTGTAAACTACCCTCAGTGAGTGCTGGGACCTGAACTCAGGTCAGATGGAAAGACAGGCAGCGTGGGTGCTTGGGGCTGGGGAAAAGCATGGCTGCATGGTTAAAAGCACTTGCTGCTCTTGCAGAGGATGAGGTGGGAGTGAGACTGTCTCAAAGATAAGAAAAGCATGGGCTGGGGGCTGGAGAGATGGCTCAGGGCTTAAGAGCACTGGCTGCTCTTCCAGAGGACCCAGGTTCAATTCCCGGCACCTACATGGCAGCTCACAACTATCTGTAACTCCAGTTCTAGGGGATCTGATCCCTTCACACCAATGTACATAGACTAAAAGTTAAGTAAATTATGAGAGAAAGAAAGAAGGAAGGAAAGAGGAAAGAGCGGAAAGGCCTGAAGAGAAGGCTCAGCAGTTTCAGTAGTTAAGACTGCTTGGGGGAGGGCTGGGCACTCGGGAGGCAGAGGCAGGCGGATCTCTGTGAGTTCGAGGCCAGGCTGGACTGACAGCCTCCAAAACAATACAGAGAAACCCTGTATCGTAAAACCAAAAAAAAAAAAAAAAAAAAAAAAAGAC